CCTTAACTCCAGTTTCAGGGGAATCCAAAGCCCTCTTCTGACCTCTGCAGCATTTGCATGACATGGGTGCACTCCTACATGCAGGCAATACATTTATACACATAAAATACTAAAATAAATAAATAAAAAGGGGGAATATGGGGGGCTGGAGAGATGGCTCAGTGGTTAAGGGCACTGGTTGCTCTTGCAGAGGAGCTGGGTTTGAATCTAGGCACCCACATGGCAGCAAAGAACTAACTCCAGTTTGAGGGGCTCTGACGCGCTCTTCTGACCTCCACGGGCATTGCACCACATGGGTGCACTTACCCACATGCAGGCAAAGCACTCATACACATAAATTAATAAATACAATTTTTTTTAAAAAAAAAAAAAGAATGGTGGGGCTGGAGAGATGGCTTGGTGGTTAAGAGCACCAACTGCTCTTGTAGAGGACCCAGGTTCGATTCCTAGCACCCACATGGAGGCTACGAACCGTCCTTGCACAACACAGGTGTACTCACATACAAGCAGGCAATACACTCATACACATAAAATAAAAATAATAAAATATTAAAAAAAAAAGGAGAATGTGGGAGTGGGGCACTAGGAAATGTTTATAGAACATCCAAAGACCAGAATCAACAGCAATGGCAGCTGAGTGTGGTGACACACTCTTGTGATCCCACTCAAGCAGGAAGATCATGTGACAAATTTAAAGAGTTAAGCAGACCAGGTGTGGTGGCATACACCTTTAATGTCAGTACTTGGGAGGCAGAGGCAGGTGGACCTCTGTGAGTTCGGAGGCCAGCCTGGTCTTCATAGAGAGTTCCAGGCAGCTGGGGCTACAGGGAGACCCTGGCTCAAAAAAAAAAAGGTAAGCAGAATTAACCCATGGAGGGTCTTAATTCAAGATAAGAAGTTAGAACTTTACTGGAAAACCAATTCATCATTTTAGACATGGAACTGATGAAATAAATTTCTAATAGTGGCAAAATAAATTAAAGGCCAAGACCTCCTCACTCCAACCCAAAATTCGTGGATATTCCAGTCTCATATATGATATTTG